ATGCTGGATGCAATGAAGTGTGAGGGGAGAGATGTGGCCTGGGAATCAAAGCCCTCCTGTGCTGTGAGGTAGCTGGAAAATACTGCACTGCTCTGCCCTGTGGTAAAAGGTGGAATTTGGGCTGAGCAGGCAAATTTGCCTTCTGCCCAAAACATGCCCCACTGGGGCTGTTATGGGAACTGGATTTAACACTTTCAGTGAGAAATGGGAGCTCTGACACAGCCACATGAGAGCACTGAGCAGCACCTCATCATAAGTGAGGTGGCACTTTGAGCCCTTCCAGGAGGGACAGCTCTGAAGCCTTGCCAGCACTGCCATGAGTCTGATGTCCTGATCTGCTGCTTTCAGGCAATTCCGACCCTTCCACCACCAGTTCCAAAGCTTTCCTGACCTCAACTTCTTGGCACCCAAAAGCTCCAGCCCGTTTGAGCCTCTGAAAAGCCTCTCCAATTCCTGCCAGGCCAGGTAGGCTGCAGCTCCTTCTGTGCAAGTGTTTAACCCCACTCCTGCTGGTTCCTGGGATCTGGGAACCCCCTGCCTTTGGCTGTGGGCACAGGGAGCCTGTGCTGGGTCCCTGCTGGTGCTGCCAGGCAGGGTGACCCCCGTGTGTCCCTTGCAGGGGTGCTGAGGGCTGTGCCCTGCACAGCGCCGGGGGGAAGAGCCCCCGCTCCACACACATCACCGTGCCCAGGAAAAGGAGGGGGTTTTGTGAGTGCTGCCAGGAGAGCTTTGAAGAGCTGCAGAAGGTAAAGGTTCCTCTGGGACCTGGTTATGGGAGTTATGGGGGGGACACTCGGAGGCTTTGTTAGTCATGTCATGTTAGCACTGTGAATTGCTGTATCCTGCAGGGTCTGTCTGAGATGGGAGCTGGGTATATCTGTGTGCCCAGTGCAGCAGGTCAGAGCACAGTGGGTCTGGAGGCTGGAGCACAACATGCTCCTCTCTTGGGGTGCAGGAGCCTCAAGGATCATCCTGTTACATGATCCATAAGGTGAAGAAGCTGTTCCATGGCAGCCATGGGGCATGGCTGATTGAAAAGGTGGGAGGAGGTTTTTTATCTCCTGGAAGGTGCCAATCAAGAGGGCTTTCAGAGCCCAGCTGTAAGTAGCAGACAGTAGTGGTGGGGTCTATTTCCTGCTGCTGGGGAGGCTGTGGGCTGCTCTTAGATCTGCACACAGCCTCCCCATCAGCAGGAGCAGGGAACAGGGCACTCTGTGTACTCCCAAACCTGCCAGTCATTGGCTCTGGCCCTTTGCCCTCTGGTCTCTTAGGCTGTGAGAAGTGCCTGTTATTGTAAATTCCCCTCCTGGTAGAGCTTGAGGTGTTGTTAAAGGGTCTCTGTCACCTTCCAGCATCTCCAGAGCCCCCAGCACCGGCGCTTTGCCCAGGACAGCTCCCAGTACATCCCTGTGGATCGTGTCATCTCCCAGCTCAGCAGCAGCTTTGAGGAATGCTCAGCCAAGTAAGTCTGGGAATCTGGGACCTCCTGGAGCCCAAAGGCAGCATCATGGGATGGGGTCCCTGTGCCTGGGAGTCAGAGGCTGAAGCAGAACCAACTTGGTACCTGCTGGGCAAGACTTAGACAAACTGTGGGAAATGTTCCTGCATTTCCATGGGTTTTCTCCTTCAGGGAACTCCCCGTGGACTCCTAGTGCCTCCTAAACTAGAAAGAGCAGCAGAGCCCACCTGTTCTGTCCCTGTGTCTGACTCAAACCCTGCTGCTCTGTACCCACCCTGTGCCTGGATCAGAGTCATTCTGAACCTCACCAGGCTAAAAGTGCTTCCCTGCTTCTGAGCAAGGGCTGCAAACACCCTGCACTGCAGGGTGGGCCTGGTCTCCCTGGGGAGGGGGTGTTGCTGGGGCTGGGTGAACATTAACTGATGGTTCCTCTCAGGGTGCCCTGGTCCTGCCTGGCAGATGAACATGTAGTGCCTCAAGCACACACTACTGGAAGAAACAAGCTGCTGCCAGCAGAGCTGGGGAAGGAAGGGGAGCAGCCTGAGCAAGGTGCTGTGGAACTGATAACAGATACAGAGCTGCTTCATGGCCTGAAGACCAAGGAATGTTCCCCCTGCCTGCCCAGGGACAGGGTCAAAGATCCCAGAGGAGGAGGGGGCTTGTCAAAGCACAGCTTCCTGCAGCTGCCCAGGAGAGCAGGTCTCAGCAGAGGAGTCTGTGCTGCCCATGGCACCACGGGGGAGGCTGGGTTGAGGGCTTCAGACTTAGGTTTGGCTCCTGAGCTGGGCTGGGGGCCTCATGCAGCACCCACTCCTGTCAGAGAGGGAATGGCTTCTTCATCTGAGCCTCATACACAGCCTGGGTCTGTCAGCCACCTTCCCCAAGCACAGCCTGCCTCCAGGAAGCGCCAGCTGTCCTCCAGACAGAGCTCCCAGGTGGGCAAGAGGCCCAGGCTGGAGCTGGGTTTTGGCCTCTCCCCTGCAGCTGAGCAGATGGAGCCGCTGGGTGGTGGGATGGGAGCACAGGGTGCAGGGCAGGTGTCTGAGCCAGGCCTGCCCCTGGGCACAGAGCTCTCCAACAGACCTCACAGCTCCCTTGCTTTGGATGTGTGCCTGTGTGAGAGCCCTGGGGACCCTGTGTGCCAGCCACAATCCCCGGGAGCTGTGGCTGCAGCTTTTGATCCTGAGGTTGTCACTGTCAGCAAGCATGGCTGGAACAGGGACAGATCCCGAGGGAAGCAGCCAGGAGGGGACAGTGACAACACAACCAGGAATGGGAAGGGGCCTGGTCTAGAGAGCACAGCCAGCAGGACCAGCTGCCCTGCTGGCTGCCTGCCCTCTCCCTCACTGCCTGTGGCTGAAGCCAGATGTTGCTGCTCACGCCGTGTCAGGGCAGCAGAAGCAGCAGCCCCTGGAGCTCCCAGCATGCCTAGGCAGGGCACAGAGCGGGCACAGAGCCCTGGCCTCCTCCCCGCTGCTCCCCAGAGCCCAGAGGCTGCTCACAGCTTCAGCAGGAGCTCCTTGGAGTCAGACTGGGATGTGCAGCTGCTCCCCAGCCTCACGGGTGTCCAGGGCCGCAGGAGCTTGCTGCAGCAGAGAGGGGTCGGTGTGAGGGACAGCGGGTACGAGTCCCAGCTCTGCTCCGTGCTGAAGGAGTCAGAACTGATCTGCGCAGGCCAAGAGGACAAGAACTGCAGGAACTGCTGCACAGAGACCAGAGGAGCCTCTTTCCCCATATTTGGGACATTGTTTGGCAGCTAAAACCAACTCCAGGCTGCTCTCTGGACCCTTGGTGGGAGCTGAGAAGGGGCTGGGAGGGATTTACCAAGGCACCCTCCCTGTCAGCACCAGGAGGCACATCCAGGAGTGAGGACAGTGCCAGCAGCCTGGGCAGCTCTCCCATTGGGAATTGATGGAGATGCAGTCCACGTTTAGAGCCAGCAGCTTCCTCCAAGTCTTCACAGGCTGCTGACACGGTGGTGCCTCTGAAAGTCTCTCTTCAATGGCAATATGCTGTTTGCCCTTGCAGAGGGAGAGCAGAGCCTGCTCGTCCTCTCACATGGTCCTCAGAGCTGCAAAGACTTAGGAGAAGAGGGTCATGGGGATGAGATTTGTGCTCCTTGTGTGGTCTGGGGGTTGTCTTTGAGTATTTTCAGGTGGTTTTAACTTGTTTTGGGTTTCTTTTTTACAAACTTTTGAATTTTGAAATAAAATGGAGGGATGAGATCCTGCTCTGCCTTGCTATGGGTGGAATGTGTCTGGGGGCAGGAGCAGAGGGGCTTGGGTGAAGGAAGCTTTGCAGGACAATGGGCCATGATGAAGGGGGCACAGGGGTTAGTCTAGCCCCAGAACATCACCCCCTCTGTGGTTTGCCAGAGGAGGGGGGTCAGCAGGCCTTGGGAAGCTGCTGTACCCAGTGCAGGGGTGGTGCCCAGCAAGGAGGGGTGTGCAGAAACTGGAGAGCAGTTGGCAGGAGCCTGTTGACCTCTACTGGGTATGGGGTCAAAGGATGGAGGTCAGGGATGGGTTGGGCTGGCTAAGAGGATGGTCTGGAGTGTCTAAAAGCAGCCTGAAGCCAACCCTTCTGTGGTGCCAGGTGTTAAGCTGTTCCCAGTGCAGTGTGGGAAAAGAAAAGGCTCAGGGCCCAGGAGGGTGAGCCAGCCCTGGGCCAGATACCCAGAAGGAGTGGGGCCTGTCTGTCCTTGGAGATGTTCAAGCCTGGAGTGAAGGATAACACTCTGTCCCTCACTCCAGGCTCAAAGGGAAAGCTTGAAGTGGGATCATGCAGTGTGAGCAGGGACTTGGATCACATGAGGCTTCAGAGGTTCTTCCTGAGCTAAATACTTCTCCAGTGCAAAGCCAAAGTCCAGTTCTTTACCTACTGCAGCACCTGTACTGAAGGGCTGATCAAAACTGCAGCAGGAGCTGAACCCACTGGGCTCAGGGTTCTGCCAGGGGCATGTTCCTACAGCCACAGGCTCTACCAGCAGGAAGGTGATCCCTGGGAGAGAGGGACAGAGGGGCTTGGAGCACCAACCAGCCCCTGTCCTGGTGTGCTTGTCCTTCTGGAGGGAGTGACCAGCTCTGTGCAAAGAGGGTGCCCTGGGGACAGAGGAGTGACCCCTCCAGGCCCTTGGCCTGTGTGACCACAGCTCCAGGGTGACCCTGTGAGACTGGGATACCTTATGGTATCCCTGACCTGAGAGATTAGCAGTTGTCTTTCACCAAGCCTGGCCCTTCCAGGGAGGGGAGAGGGGCCCCCCAAGTGCCACCTGCCCCTCCTTATGCTGACCAGAGACTTACCCTCATCAGGGGGACTCGAGCAGCTGCTCCATGGGGCCCTGTAGGCTTTGGATCAGGTGTTCAGGCTGGAGATACAGAATCTTGGAATGGTTTGGGGTTGGAAGGGAGCCTAAAGATCCAGTTCCAAACCCTTGCCTGGGGCAGGGACACCTTCCACTAGAACAGCTGTTCCCTGGTATAGGGTGAGATCCACACTGGTGTTGAGCACCTCTTTGTGCCTGTGGAGCAGAGGAGCAGCACAGGGGCACTGGGAAGGACTGTCCCCCTTGGGCTGGCAGCCCCAGAGCTCCTGAGGAGCCAACCAGGTGCTGGATCATCTCTGCTGTGCCTGATGCTGCACTTCCTCCCCTCGTTGCATGGAGGAAGAGGAAGGTCCAAGGGCAGCAGGTCCCAGTTTGGAAGCCCTGCCTGCCCCATGCTGATCTGCCTCAAAAGGACCATTGCCAGCCAGGAGCCCCCCGAGAGTGGCTGAGAAGGTGCTTCCTGGAGCCTGTTCGTGTGCAGCCCTCAGGGGAGATGTCCCTGTGTGTGAGTGCCAGCCCCCATCTCACGGGCTGGGGAGGGGCTTTGAGCCCCCCCGTCTGAGCATGACCCTCATCTTCTGCTCAAACCAGGCTGAGCTGCAGAGGGACTTGTTGGAGTGGTAACACAAAATGGGCCAAAAAGTTCCAAAAAGGTTGTCCTGGAGTGAGGGATGTTTACTGGGAGTTCAGGGTCCCCAGCTTGCTGTTTTGGGGGAGCTCCAGGGCCTTCCCAAGGCAGCTGACCTCTGGGATGAGCTGGGGCCACTGAAGCACCTGCATCCTCCCCTCTCTGGAGTACGTGGGTACGTGGAGTACTTAGCTGAGCCCCTGTCCCCTCAGACACAGGCACAGGTTGCCTATAACTCTCCATGGGGAGCCCAAGCACCTGCCCAAGGATGGCCCTGGGCACCCCCAGCAGGAAGAGCTGGGGCTGGTGGTCTCCAGGTCTGTGTCCCACCCTCAGTCCTGAGAGAATCATCTCTGTGCTGGTTCGTGTATCCATCAGCTGAGGCTGCAGCCTCTGTGCCCTCCAGGAGAGCCCCTCCTGGAGGTGCCTGTGGCTGTGCTGCCTCCCCTGTGAGCTGTGTCACCCTCCATGCTGCTCTGCCCCTCTCCCACTGCAACAAAACAAACTGGAATTTACTGGGGCTTGTCTCCCTAAAATTGTTCCATTACCACCAGGAGGAAACACAGCATCGCAGCTCCCCAAAAACAGAGCAGAGAGGGACTCCTGGTTCTGGTGCTTCCTGAGGGTGGGGACCCCACAGAACCCTTGGGTGACATCGCACACCAGTGAGTGGGACAGTCCAGAACTGCCCCATGTCCCCAGTGCTGTGAGCACCAGCACTCCCTGCTTTCAGCACCATCCCCTCAGAACCCTCAGCTCCATCCACAGCCAACACCAGCCCCAGCACCAGGCAGGGGCTCAGTTCCAGCTGGGAGGGTGGTGCTGGTTGGGGGCTTCAGTCCCAGCTCGGGGGCTCTGATTATGGTGTGGGTCTGGTAGTGTTGGGAAGCACCAGGACAATCTGTAGGGGCCTGGGACTGGCTGGGAATCAGTTGGGGACTGGGTACCAACTGAGGAGAGCACGGTACAGCCTGGGGGCCTCCAATCGCAGCTGGAGGCCCTGTGTTGGCTGGGAAGCCTGGTACTGGTGCTGGGACTGGCTGGAAGGGCTCTACTGGTGTGGGAGTCCTGCACTGGCTCGGGGGTGGGGAGGCAGCAGTGGCTGACAGGGGCTTGATTCTGTCTCGAGGTTCCAGACCTCGGGAGGTGCAGTATTGACTGGGGAGTTCTCGTACTGGTGTTCCTGTCCTGGGGGGGTGTGAGGGGTCTGATCCTGGCTGGGAGGGGTCTGGCACTGGCTGCTCCACTCCAGTCCCTGAAGTGCGGGGTGCCCAGCACCGGCCCGGGGCTCCGGTACCATTCCGGGGGTGATGTGACCGGGAGCTCCGGTACCGGCCGGGGGTGCTGCCGGCCGGGGGGTGCTGCCAGCGGGGCTCCGGTGCTGCAGTGCCGCGGGTGCCAGCGGCGCTGCGGCAGCCGGGGCGGGGAGGGTGGAAGGGGCCGGTACCGGGGGCGGCGGGGCCGGGC